CCCTGCCAGTCCCCGCCCACACCTGTTCCAACAGTCCTGGACCATCCTGGAGCTTCGTGTCGTACCTACCTGTGACTCGTGGACGCCCCTTGTCATGCCGTCGTGCCTGTCTGACCGTCTGACGCCCTGTGTCGTGCCTGTCTGACCGTCTGACTGCTGTACCTGTATCTGACTCCATGTCGTGCCTGTCTGACCGTCTGACGCCCTGTGTCGTGCCTGTCTGACCGTCTGACTGCTGTACCTGTATCTGACTCCATGTCGTGCCTGTCTGACCGTCTGACGCCCTGTGTCGTGCCTGTCTGACCGTCTGACTGCTGTACGGCTGTATCTGACTCCATGTCGTGCCTGTCTGACCGTCTGACACCGTCCCGGTCAGATCATCACGGGCAGCCACGACTCGACGATCCGGCTGTGGGACCTGGCCGCCGGAAAGTCCATGGCCACGCTCACCAACCACAAGAAGTCGGTGCGCGCCGTGGCGCTCCACCCCAAGTTGTGAGTGCGCGGACTCGGGCGCTCAGCGCCGCCGCTGGTGTATAAAACTCAGCTGGTCTCCGGGTTCAGTGATGGACAGCTGGCTCACTCCTCATCTTATGGTTGTCGGCTGAACAAATGCTATTTTAGAGTAAAGCGGCGTTGTTGTTGTTGTAATGAATTTGTATGAAAACATTCGTAGTAGTTAATAGTTATTAACAGCACATACTTGGTAAGCAAGAATTGAAGGTATCTGCGGATGTTTCTGCGGTGATTTTTTGAACCAGTTCTGTGTGTATGTATGAATGCTCACACGGACGTTGGCAGGTACATGTTCGCCTCCGCATCCCCGGACAACATCAAACAGTGGCGCTGCCCCGAGGGCAAGTTCGTGCAGAACCTGACCGGACACAACTCCATACTCAACTGTCTGGCCATCAACAGTGAGTGGGTCCGGAAGGGACGGTGACGGACATATTATCGCAGTACGTGCTTGAGATGGCGTTGTAGCACCAGCAATGTGCACAGCGGTATTGGTGTTGCTGTTGGAAACGTTTGCTATCGTCACATTATTATTTTGTCATCATCTGCTGTTGGTTAGGCTCTGAGTGGACCTGTTTATTAGGCTCCTCGTCTCAGACGCCCGCCGACTCGATGAATTGTAAAATGCGATGCAGTGATTGCGCTCTATCCCGTCTGTTCCCTCGTCAGCTGTCTGAGGCCGATATGAGACCGCCACCGGTCACCCGGCGCTGCCCAGTGAGTTTTGGTGACCCCCTCCCCCCCTCCCCTCCAGGTGACGGCGTGATGGTCTCTGGCGGCGACAATGGCACTCTCCACTTCTGGGACTGGCGCACCGGCTACAACTTCCAGCGCATGCAGCCGCCCGTGCAGCCGGGCTCTCTGGACTCGGAGGCGGGCGTGTTCGCGCTCGGTTTCGACCACTCGGGCACGCGGCTCATCTCCTGTGACGGAGACAAAACCATCAAACTCTACAGGGAGGACGACACCGCCGTGAGTTCAACAACTTGGGTGGCAACCGCGGGGGGTGGGCAGTGGTTTATAAAGCGGTCAGTTCCATGTTTCTTCAAGCCATGTAGTAGTGATTTAGGGTCTAATGGGGAAAAAATCCTACTGAAACTGACGAGGCGTTCGTGTTCCCGATACCATTACAAAAATGGTCCCGTCTCAACCTTCCCCGTCTTCTACACCGCCTACTGCACCTCAACCGTGTCCAATACCCAGTACCCACCGGGAGTTAACCAATGTCTGTGGAATGCTCGGATAAAGCGTAATGGACGGTGCTAACGTTGGCTTTTCTTTGTATCGGGTTTCTGAGGTCGAAGTCTATTTTGGGTCGGCAGTGTCTGACTAATCCCACTACCTCGATCACTTTTGTCGCTACCGAACCACGGCTGGCTCGGTCAGCAATGCTTCTCAGAGCTACGACTTCCTCGGGGGTCGCTGGTCAAAATTCATTTGAATTACAGATCATTTTGTTCGGCCGCAACTCTGCAGACATTGCGACCGCCGCCGCCTCCGTCCGATGACGTACCTTTGTCTCCGTTTTTACCAAGACCCGAGCGGTATCCCATTGTCTTCTGTCTGTGGCGGTGCTTTTTACACCGTTCCAAACTTGTCCCGGTGCTATTACTGGTGGAATCAGCTGGAGACGACGGCCGCAGTCGGTGAGCCGAGTCGCCGGCTCCTACCGCCCGTCTCGGCCGGGATCGGGGGAAATTAAACGGTCTAAATCGGTCCGCAGTCGGCGGCGCGCGCTATTTCTCCGTGAGCAGCTCCCGGCCGGGGGTCGGCGGGCCGGCGGTGTGGCTGCCCGGGATCCTCTGGCGTCATTGCGGATTGTCCGCGGTCAGGGAGCCAGCTGGTCGCTGTGTTTAGGGAGCGGTTTGATCGCTGGTGGCTGGGACTCTGGGTGGCGTGGTCTGTCCGTGGTGACGCCCCGTCCCTGCTACCGTCCCCGTTATCATCCCTCGCCCCTGTCACTGTCCGAGCGGTGTATGTTTTGTACGCGTCCCGGGATGTACGTGTACCTGTGGCAGTCTCTGCTGTTACCCCCCGGTCTACCCCTCGCGTTAACACCACACGTGTGTCCTGTGCCCGCTGGCAGTCAGTGGCTGACCGCATGTCCCACATTTCAGACGGAGGAGAGCCACCCGATCAACTGGCGACCCAACATTCTGAAGCGGGCGCGGTACTGAGGGGGATATCAGCTGCTCTGGTCTATCTGTGCCGTTGGACGGGGCCCGGACGCGCCGTCAGCTCGTCTCCACGCCTCGGTCCCGTGTCGTCCGGCGGTGGCGGACGCCGCCCGTCTCGAGGGCTCTGCGGCGACCTGCCGGTGCGGCGGCTCACCCCATCTGGTCTCCCGCGGCGCCCAGTGTCGCCCTGCCAGGGGGCGTGTGGCGGAGGACGCCCTCAGCGCGCTGAGGGAACGGACCGGTATCCTTTGCCCGCCCCGCTGTGTGCCGGACTCCGGCAGAGCTGTGGTTACCGCGCCGAGCCATGGTCGGTTCACGGTGGCGACGGTGCGGGGGGGGGAGGAGGGGGCGGCTTTTGTACCCAGTGTGTGTGAGAGCGCTGTGGAGATCATCTCGAGGTGTTGTCGAGTATCGTGTCGACTGCTGAGCATCTGTAGGCTGTGGCCGCGCGGAGAGGGGCTGTCTGTAGGCGTGGACCGCCTGGTGCAGCGGCACCCACATGCACCGCAGCCGGCCGCGGCCTCGTGCAAATACACATCCCATCTGACCGTGACGGCGGAGTTGGCAGAGCTGTGGGCCGGTCCAACTGGGGCTGGGCTGGGCCGGTACCCTCATTGGGTCGGCAGCAGCGACGCTACTGGGTCGGTGTTCGCTTTGGGCCGGCGGCAGTGGCAGTGCGGGGTCGGTATCCGTTTTGGGTCTGTAGCGGTGGCAGTGCCGGGCCGGTGTTCACCTTGGGTTAATGCCTGTGTCAGTTGCAGTATTGGGTCGTTGTTCGCTTTTGGGTCTACAGAAGTGGCAGTATTGATTCGGTGTCCGCCCTGGGTCGGTGTCCGTTTTGGGTCGGTGTCCGCCCTGGGTCGGTGTCCGTTTTGGGTCGGTGTCCGCCCTGGGTCGGTGTCCGTTTTGGGTCGGTGGCAGTGGCAGTGTTAGTCAGTGATAGTGTTGGACCGGTACGAGGACGCTGAGCCGCTCCGGCTGTGAAGTCGATTTACCGGCGAAAGACACCGGCGAGTGCTGGTGCAGTATTTCGCACTAGCTGTTTCGTCAGAACGCGCGGCGGCCTGGGCTGAGCGCCCGGGCCGCCGCACACGTGTCCCGTACTGGGCGCTACTGGGGAATTATGCATAGACCGATCGGCTACGCGGCATTAGCATAGCCTGGTCGGCCAAGCGGCTGCCTTTCGGGGCGGCCGCGGCCGGCCGGACCAGCGCAGACCTCCGCTCCCGTCCCGTCCGCTGTCCACCGCAGCTGACATACCAACACTGCGGGTGATTGTGCGTGACTTCTTGTAGCATCCTTCGCAGTGTCCTTCATCGCAGTCCCTTTTCGGGCCTTCCCCCACGTCGCCCTGAGCGATCCCTGTGTAGTGATTCGGGTCCCAGCTGCAGCGCGTCAGTCGGTGCCGGCCGCGCCACATTCCGGCGGCAGCGGCTATGGCTCGGTGGAGCCTGCAGAGGTGACCTGTGGCCCAGTTTCGGCCGGGCGGCAGGCCGGCTCCGTCCGAATAACGCCGGTGGGTTAGGCGAGGTGTTTATATCGACCGACGTTCATACAGGGGACTGATGTACCGGCCTGCTGTGCAAATGGGTCACCGGAAGACGGAAACCACCTCCGAACACAGCGGAGCCGTTATAACATTTATCACTCGTTCTGATCAGGGCTCTCGCGTTCCTCCCAAGAGGTGAATTAGATGAAAAACAGCACACGTCTGATCATGACTCGACATGCTCGATTGGACAGCTGCAAAGGGCACGCGGCAGGCGAGAATGTCACATTGAAAGGCGTGAACTGATGACTGTGGCACTCGACCAGTGGCCATGTCTAGCACTTGATGCACTGGATGATAACGCGTGTTAGATTCTAGTCTCCGCACCGAAAACTCGTTTTCCATGCACCGTCTGCCGCGAGCACGTAACAGCACAGCACAGAGTGTGCAGAGGTAGCGCGGCCGGCGAGTGACGTCACGTGACTGCTCGCCGTCACACAGCGGGGCGGGCCCGCCACGTCACGTCACGTCACGTGACACCAGCCATGTTTCAGGCCCGTCGGCTGCCGGTCGGCACGGGCCGCACTGCCGTCCCACGTTCTGTCGCCATGGCCGGCGGACGGGCGACGCGGCGGCCCAACTCGCAGAGCGCGCTCGCAGTGGCAGTGTATTGTCGACGGAGGTCGGGCGGGGCGCGCGCGGCGCGCACTACCAGCGTCCGTCCGGCTCCGGCCGGGCGCCGCCCATATTTGGCGGGGCTGGCGCTGGGCCCTTCCCCGCTGGTGAAACGGGCGCGCCGGGGCGCCGGCGTGTCTGTGATACGGGCCGAGCCGAGTCCGAGTCGTCCGAGGTGCCGGCGCCGCTGACTCGGGTGGTGACTCCTGCCGGGCCGGGGTGACTCGGGACCTGGCCACGATGGTACCGGCGACTCTGATGAGTCGCCTTCGGCTGAGGTTCGCTGACCCCGCTGCAGGGTCCGCTTGGAGCGCACGTCTCGTTACCACAATCAGTGCCGATCACGGGCGCGGGTGGCCGGCGGCCGGCGCGCCGCTCCCTCTCACACGCACACGGCGCGCTCCGCACTGCTGTGTTAGCTCCACCGCTCCAGACACCAGTCCTAGTCCCAGTCACTCTCGCAGTCTGTCAGTCTCAGTCCAGTCGGCGCCGGCGGCGCGGCGCGGCGCACTGGCCGCCGCCCACCGCCAGGGCGCGACGCTGGCCAGATCTCGGTCCTAATATCGTGGGCGCCCGCGGCGGCCTCTCTCAGAGCACTGAGCACTTGCTCTTCTTTTTGCGCGCGGCCGGCGGCATGGGCGGCCGCTCGGAGGCCTGGAACTTGCGTATTAGCCGCACCAGCTCGTAGAAGCTGTCGTCGACGTTCATTCGCAGCTTGGCCGAACACTCGACGTACGGGATCTTGAGGTTGCGCGCCACGTGCTGCGCCTCCTCAGTGGTCACCTGCCGCAGAGGTCAGAGGTCAGAGAGAGAGAGAGGTCACGGGTTACCGTGAGGTCACACATGACAGATGGTAGCCAGAGCAGAGGTCAGACCACAGTACAAACGGTTGTTTAATTAGTCGGTTTCCGGTCAAAGTGGCCAGCTCCGTTCAGTTAGACCACCACGAAATAGATATTTATTTATTTATTTATTTATTTATGTTTGTACTTGTTCACTTCACAGCTTCCCGCTCCCCAGGGACCGATTTACCAACCACTCACAGAACGCGCGCGGCCACCCGGGGACTCTGTTTATGAGGTCCGTCCCTGGGGCTATCGGATGTGGTCTGAAGGGCCACATACATACCTAGGTACTACACTACTTGTTGAGGTCGAGGTCGTGCTCAAAGCGTATAACGCCCTATAAATGTGTCGCTGCTGTCCAGGTGTCCCTCAAAGCGACTCGAAACGGGTGAATTGGTGCTCCATTTTAGTGTTCACGACTCCATAGGGCAGGCGGCGCTGTCCGTGGTTACCGCGGCTGGTTACGGGTTCCATAGACCGGGAGCCGCCGGCAGCCCATGGTTACCGCGGCTGGTTACTGGCTCGGCGGCCGGCAGCCCGTGGTTACCACAGCTGGCTACTGGCTCGCCAGCCTGCGGGCCCGCACATGTCATCCCTCCCAGTCGCCGCTGAGCAGTGAGCAGTGGCGCAAACCGGCTCAATGCATTTCAATGGAGTCAATGCCGGCCCGCACGGCTGGGTTGCACGGCCGGTGGGGAGAGAGGGCCCTCGTCCTCTCCGACGAGAGCCGCCCGAGACGGTGTACGGACCAGTGCTCACAGACAGCCGCCCTCGGGCGCTGCGCCCAGTTCAAAGAGGCCGAGTCCAGTCTCGCCGGTGACCGCTCAGCTTTCAGTGGAGAGCACTGGGAAGCCCGCTGACTTGTCAGCCTTGCACAATGGCACATACACGCTCAATGTGAGCCAGGAGAGTGTCGCGAACTATAGGGATTCTCAGCCGGTTGATGGCGCTGAATAGGCAGCAGTCACGGAATAATAACGAGATCCTGCATGTCCTGTATGTATAGGATATAATATTTTATTAAGTATATCCGCTACTCTGAGACTGTGTGTACTGTGCCGGTGAATGCAAATTTTCTTCCAAAAGAATAAAAAGCCGGCCGTAATGCATGGTAATTAGTTGGGTGATAGAAGTTGGTACTTCTTTTTGTCGCTAGATGGTTCGCGCGCCTGTGCGAATGCTGTGCCGCATTGCTTACCTACACTAAGACCATATTGGTCTGCCCGTGCTAACGTGCCGTCTAACTATGATAAGTGTGTAACTGCCGGCTGGGTCTGGATCTGATATTTTCCCCAAAATTTCTTTGAACTGAAACATTGGCAACAAGAGCAGCCTTGAACTGAAGAGCTTACTTTAGGCTGTTCCTATTCGCTGATCTACTCGCTGCAGAAAAGGCTTGCACAGACGTCCGACATCACCAGATCGCCTGCAGACCTCCTGGCTCGGCGCCAGGCAGTTCCGCTACCCGCCAAACCAGCCACGCCCTCCCCTCCTCCGCATCGGCAGCGGGGCCGGTCCGATTCACCCGAACCCCGGCTCCAGCCATGGGAAACAGCCACCGATACTGGCCGGCGTTTGGGCACGACAGCTGTAGGCATCATCGAGGGATCTCAGCCGGGCGAGGCGGGTCAGTCAGCTGACCTGACCTCTCCCAATCGTCCGTCCGTTTTCTGGGCCGCCGCTCCGCTCCAGCCCCCTGTGCCCCCACTCCTCCTCCCCCCCGATCCCCTCCCGCCCCCGCCGCCCGGGCCAGAGCACTGGCCGAGACGGCCGATCTTGACCGAGTTATAATTTTAGAGGCTGACTCATGGCGCTGGTGCGGCGGCCGGCCGCTCGGAGCTCCGACGGTGGGGTCCGGGCAGGCGGCGCCCGACCGCGGCCAGTGCCGCTCCCGGTGGACGCTGCTGTGCCGCTCCCCGGTGGACGCTGCTGTGCCGCCCCCGGTGGACGCTGCTGATACCGAACCCTCGGCGGTCCGCAGAGCTGGGACCGGACACTGTCCACTGGGCCACACAGTGGCTCTGGGTCGGTCTCACGAACCACACGCTGACCTCTGCAGAATTTGTCATTTGTAGTCTGCTCGTCGATCGTCCACTATCGGCCACGTCTACCGCCTGTCGTCCATTGTTATACACTGCCCGTCGTCTACCGCCCACCTTCGGGCGTCCACAGTCCAGCGCGCAGACTTCTTTGAGCCAAGTGTAATTCATAGGAATTGCTCCGATCAACGAAGACCCCACCGATTTATAAAATGTCCACGATCCGTCCCAATTTATCACATGTAAGCGTGATACCGTTTACGCCCAGGTTCCCTGGCCGATCGGTGCTCGGCGGTGGGCTGCGGGCGCCGCCAGCGGCCGGCCGGCCGTGTTTCGACTCGGCCGGACAGATAAATGGATACAAATCGCGTAATAACGCGCGGTCCGGCAGAGCGCCAGCGGCGGCCAATGTGTCAGACGGCGGCGGCAGCAGAGGCCGGTGTCAGACGGGAACGGCAGAGGCAGGTGGGTCAGACCAGACGGGAGCAACAGTGGCCAATGTATCAGACGGCGGCGGTAGCAGTGGCCGGTGTCAGACGGGAACGGCAGTGGCAGGTGGGTCAGACGAGAGCGGCAGTGGCCAATGTATCAGACGGGAACGGCAGAGGCCGGTGTCAGACGGGAACGGCAGTGGCCAATGTGTCAGACGGGGGCGGCAGTGGCAGGTGTCAGACGGAAGCGGCAGAGGCCGGTGTGTCAGACGGGAGCTGCAGAGGCACCAGTGGCCGGTGTCATACAGAAGCGGCAGTGACCGGTGTGTCAGACGGGAGCGAGCACAGTGGCCGGTGTCAGACGGGAGCGGCATTGGCGGGTGTCAAACGGGAGCGGTCGGCATTTTTCAAAGGGCCGAAAGGTGCTCAACGTATGTTTGTCCAATGTCCATTTAGGGGTTTACTTGATAGCGGGATGACTGTTATCATGAGGCTCTGTTTGACCTGTGGGCCTCACGTTCCTTGGAGCGGGCTCCACCGCCCGCCGCGCCGTGCAGCCGCAGCGGTCGGCAGCGCTGATCCGTGTGGCCGAGCCAGAGTAATGCCCTGCCTGCAGATCACACCGTCCGCACCCGGAGAAAGGCGCCCGCATCGGCCGCGCAGCCCCCATACCCTGGCCGGCTGCCGCCGCCGCCGGCGGGCCGCTCAGTAAACAGGGAAAGGTCATCAGGTCATACCGGCGGCCGCCCGCCACCGCGCCGCCGATTGCTGCTCTGCGGCCGCCCGCACAGCGACCCCTCCCCGGTGGCAGGGGGAGGACACGCCCACATGTCCCGGGGGCCTGTTGCCAGGGCGGGTCCGTCACGTAGACCCCGTGCCAGGTCTGGGCGGCCGCCGGTCTTCGGGGACCAGTTCTGCACGCTTCGAAAGACGCATGGTCGACAGAGAGTGCTTTTTGGAGCGAGGAAATTAGGCAGCTGACCAGCGATCAGGCGAGTTACTTCTGAGACACGAGGGAACGCGCTGAGAAAGGTGGGTTTTCATAAGAAGCGGATAAAGGGAGGTAAGTGCAAACCAGCGTGGTCACTGAGCAGAGTAAGCAAACTGCGGAGGAACGCGCCGCGTTGGTCAATGACATTGCTAGAAGTCACCCACTGGCAGTGGCCGAGGAAGTAAGACGGACCCATTTATCATTCCATGCAGCAGTGTTCGATCGGTGCCACCGGCGGGCGGCGAGGGCACGCCGTGTCGGATGACGGACAGCTCAGTATGCGCGGCGCGCAGCACCGGAGAAAGTGAAAGTCCCTGCTGCGCCGTCTGACGGCTCATGAGCCGTGGGACGGCTCCGCGGCCGACCGGCGGCCATTTCCATTCAATCGGCCATTGTCTGAGGGGCGGCCGACCGGGTCCTGGCCTAAAAACGGCACCTAACCAGCGGCCCGGCCAGCCGGGGCGCCGTCCGCTCGTGCCATTCCCTCCCACACAGACACCGCTCGTGAAAGGTAATTATCGGCCCACACGACAGCGAAGGAACGGCCGCCCAGCTTGTGGTTCCATAAATGGCAGCCAGAACAACAAGAACTTACATAAAATGATAATATCGTCAGAACAGAAGTCCTCCAACTCTAGAGCCCGCCACCAGCCGTCGTAGTCCAGTGGCGGCGGCTCACTGCCGTGATTTGTGTGCCGTATCTGAGGGATCCAGGCTGCCTTCCCACCCTAGTCGCCCCTTGGACCCAAGTCAACTCACTAGTCAAGACCCAACCCCTGTGAGACGGTCAGAAGCGTCACATCGCCGGGAGAGGAGTGCGCAGCTGAGAGGATTCCCATGGCGAGACGACGCCTCGGTTCAGACGGGTTTTACCCAAGAAAGTTCCTCTTTAACCCGTTCAGCGAACTGTAGTAAGCCGCCCGTGCTTACTACAGCCGTTAAACATCGGCTCAACACAAAAACAACGTGATCCAGGGCACGCTGCCGAGCAGCCGTTCTCGCAGGCATCCGGAATTCACCAGGGATCCCAGACTCACGGTTAAATCCCGAACCACTTGCACTGGAGACCAGATAGATGTCACGGGCCATACTGTGTCGGCATTGACTCACCGTCCGCTGGTGCTCCAGGTCGCACTTGTTGCCCACCATGAGCATGGGGAACTCGTCGCGGTCCTTGACCCTCAGGATCTGCCGGTGGTACTTGTAGATCTCGTCGAAACTGGACCGGTTGTCGACGCTGAATACGAGCAGAAAGCCCTCGCCGGAGCGCATGTACTGCTCGCGCATGGCGCTGAACTCCTCCTGACCGGCCGTGTCCAAAACTGTAACAGATCAGAACGCTTAGAACTGGTCACAACAAAGACAGACAGGGCAGAGGACCCTCAGAAACGCGAGCGTCGAAACAAACCACAGGGACCAGAGCACAGACAGAACAGAGCACAACACCCTCAGAACAGAACACGGAACATACGGGAGAAAAAGCAAAATTAATAAGGCATTGATTGCTGTTTAATTTCCTAAATTATGGCAGTTCACCTCCCTCACAGCGCAGACCTCTGACAGCCAGCTAGAGAGCCGACTGTACGCCCAACTCTCGCCTACCCATCCTGTGAGCCGTCCTGCGAGCCGTCGTGTGAGTCACATCTCACACAAAAGCCGGACCTGTGAGTCACATCTCACACAGACGCCGATACCTCTGACCAAATTCGGGCCCGATCGCCGCCAATGCCCGGTAGCCCATCTGCCGGCTGCCGGAGCCGCGCCGGGGTCGCTGCCGGCGCGGTCCGAGTCCCCGCCTGCCGATCGGACGCCCTACATGGCCGGCGGACCCGGCGCGATCCGCGCTCAGCGGCCGCCGCCGGCCTTATTTGGTGCACGCCGTGCACGGCGGGTGCACGCCCGACCCAGGGGCGAGCTCAGCTGACTGGTGTACGGCGCGGAACAGCGGGCGGCGCCGCGGGGCGAGAACGGCAGACACGCCCCGAGCGGCTCAGATCAAACCACTGCTGGTCCTGGGCGGGGAGGGAGGGAGGGAGAGAGAGAGAGAGAGAGAGAGAGAGAGAGAGAGAGAGAGAGAGAGAGAGAGAGAGAGAGAGAGAGGGAGGGAGGGAGAGAGAGAGAGGGAGGGAGAGAGAGAGAGAGGGGAGAGAGAGAGAGAGAGGGAGGGAGGGAGGGAGGGAGAGAGACCAAGAGAAGATTGATGGAATCGACCAGGTGTGCGCAGATTATTGGCGTTGGTTGACTGATCGTGCCAAATTGGACATCGTGCCCTGCTTTGATAAGCGGAAGCCGGTTGGCGCAATTCATAAATTCATAACTGCAAAAGTTACAAAAACACCACTCTCAATAAATCAATTTTAATTTCGGTACCTATCTCTCGCAATCTAATAACATTAGGCCAGTCGCCAGTCGGTCAGCCGTCTGGTGCCGTTTGATCTCATTTTCCGAATGGCGATGCCGCACAGGCGACGGGGAGGGGGGGGGGGGGCGATCAGCCACCCGTACGGTCCGTCATCCATCTGCGCCGTCCGTACGGGCCGTCATCCATCACTCAGACGGATGGGACTCGGTGTGTGACGGAAGACGAACGCACCGGAGGCCACGAACCGTGCGTAGCGCCGCCACCGCCGCCGGATGGGAGGGCAGCGCACTGCGGGTGCTGCATAAGGTGCCTTAGCAGTTAGCCTGTAGCCACTTTCATTTGACTCTTAACTTGAATTGACTCTTAACTTAACGTGAAATCAGCAATATCTCCTTTGCGTGCGCTAAAATTTGGAAATAGATCTGCCCATTACCATCTGACACGTGTACATATGTACATATTCCGGAAATTCTGCACTCATCTAGCAGTGCCGGCCATTTCGGTGGCCCGCTCGTGTACATATATGTCCGCCCACCCAGTCCGGCCTCGTCAGTACACCCAGGCGCGGTACAGGAGACGTACTAACGGTCGCTGCGGCGGCGGCCGGCCCTTCACGGCACACCGGCACCTAACGGCGGCCAGTGGTGTCACCGTTCCCAGAAGGTGGCGGCGCGATGTCCCAGACCGACCGGTCGGCCCGGAGCCCCGCCGGGGCCCGACCGCCGCGCCGCCGGCAAATGCCACATTCCGGGACCCCGGACGGTTCAGAGCAGGACAGTCTCAGCTGCGGGTGTTATTACCTGGGCTGGATTAAAACAAACTCAGCGGCATAAATGGATAAATCTGCTCGGCCTATTTTCCAGCTGTTTTTTTTTTTAGAAATAAAAATATACCTAGCACGGGTATCATCTTTGACACTCGCTAAAGACTTGTTGCGATATAAATGGCAAATGCAGTAGTTGAAGATTTTGACACTACTCGTCGGCCGCATGGAAAGCGTTCTCCTATCTCTTGATTCCTGGTTCAGAGCTAACGGACTGAAAGTAAATGCCTCCAAAACTCAAATGATGCTGTTGGGTAGCCGTCAAAATTTGCGCACTTTAAACAACGTAACTGTAACATTCCGCGATCACATTTTGACCCCTGTGCCAGAAACAAAAAATCTCGGTTTGTACTTTGACAGCACCCTGAGCTGGGACCGTCATGTTTCCATCATCACTCAGCGCTGCTTTGGAGTTTTGACTGGTCTGTCGCATCTTAGGGGGCACCTGCCCACGGCCGTGCTCTCCGCGCTGATCAACGCCCTAGTCTTCTCTCAAATTCGCTACTGTATTTCGGTATACGGAAATGGCAAAAAAAGCAACCTCTCTCGCATTCAAAAGATTATAAATTACTCGGCAAAAATCATTTTCGGTCGTAGGAAATACGACCACGTTTCCGACCTACTTCAAAGACTGGGCTGGCTCAGCGCGGAGGGCATAGCATCATACCACACTCTCTGCGTGCTGCACCGCGTGCTCCGGTCTGGCGAGCCGGAACAGCTGGCGGCTGGGCTGTCCACTGTCGCGGAGGCCCGTGCGGCGGCCGACCGCACGACGCGGCAGGATGGACTGTTGTCAGTCCCCCGGTCCAGGACGGAGATGGGCCGTCGCCGCTTTGCCTGCCGTGGGCCGACCCGGTACAATGGTCTGCCGCGAGACCTCATCGAACTCCCCGCGTCGCGGTTTGGACGTCATCTGAAGCGTCACCTGGTAGATTTAGCGCCTGACTGACTTGTTCGTGTGCGAGTGAATGTTCTGTGAGATTGCATGTGATGTTACCCATGTATCATTTTTAAAACCGTGACGAGAGGTCCTAATAGCCATGACTTACCATGGATGACCTTAATAAAAGTCTGTATCTGTATCTGTATCTGACACTATCCTAGTCTCCAGAAATAAGCATTGATTTCCGTTACGCATTGCCCGTCGCTTTGCGTTACCTACGCCGAAAGCATTTACTTCCTTCCCTCCATAGATGGCGCTAGAGACGAACGCCTGAAAGTAGGCTGTGCCGCAGTGCCGCGCCCCAATAATGCTAGTTTCCCTCCAAAGATGGCGCCAGGGTCAGGCGCCTGAAGGTAGGCTGTGCCGCAGCTCTAAAGTGTTCGTTTCTCTCCATAGATGGCGCCAGGGTCGGGCGGCTAAAGGTAGGCTGTACCGTGGTTCCGGGCGTGGCCCTCGCGGCAGGACGCTCGCCGCTGAGGAGCCAACTATCTAGGTATATTCCGGCAGAGGCGTCTCTTTCCGAAATGCATTGTTTGGTCTCTTATGGTTACGTTTAGGATAACAAAGCCACATTTCCATACAATGTCATGGGGCTAATGTTATATCGACTTTGGCCGTTTTCACGACGGGCTATCCGGCGAGTGCACCTAATTTAACCAAATCTGCACCCACCTAATCTCTTTTACAGTAAGTATTTTATGAATTTATTTCAATGTTTTCATCGATGATACTCTCTGATAATATGACAAAGCAGGCATATAAGCAATTAGTGCAACCTTAGCTGATAGCTACTAAGACTTAAGAGACACACTGAACCTGATTTTACCAAATCTGCACCTGATCTGCACCAAATGTACACCAGATGTGTACCAGATGGCCGTCGTGAAAACGGCTATTATTAGGAGATTGGGCCTTACCAGGCCTGTATGGATAAAACGATACCCAGGAGAATACCTACCAACAGGACTTTTCGTCACGTCGTCAAAATTACGGGGAGTTGAGCTGCAGCAATTGTGGCGCTTTAGATTAATTCAAATCGGATACCGTTATCTGTCTCGGTTTTTTCTCTCTTGCAGCTGTAACCTACTGATCGCCTATCGATGATCAACCATTTCCCTTCGACAGTACACGTCAACACGACACGGCCACGACACTCCATTGACGTCATCAAACCGCACAATGACGTCATAGGTATAATGCCCCAATGACATCAGCCATCGTGGGGTGACGAACAGAGCCGAACCCGGACAGTCACAGGCCGGGGGGAGTTGGGGGGGGGGGGGGGGGTCAGTCTCGGCGCACGGTGCAGTATTACTTACTGTCGAGCTTTGCGACCACGTCATCGATGACGCACTGTTTTGTGTACGAATCTTCAATCGTCGGGTCGTAGTCCGTCACGAAATAACTCTGAAAAAGGTCATGGAACAGTTAACGTTGGTTCGTTATAATGCGACAGTGGAAACAAAATGAATGTGTGCCCCGTGATTGTACTGTAGGTACATGAGTAGATACATTTATGTACTAGTAAAAAATATTCACTATTTGATCACATCTGGTATAACTGAACGTTCGAGGGGATAACCTGAGGAAAATGGGTAAATAAATTTAGGGGAGAGTGGGGTACATTCGTGCAATAAGTGGATAAATCCATATATTTGTTCTTTGGTTGGTGCAATTGGAAAAATTGTCAATTGTCGTATGGAAAGGAACTATTACATATATTTTTCTTCTTTAAAAGTTATCCTATAAAAGTATCGCTTCTATTAAAAAAAAAAACTTTTAATAACTTTGAACGTTTGCACGAAACTGCTCCAGGTATGGGGCACATTCGTGCATGGGGTGGGGCACTTCCGTGCACCCTGTTAAGTTCGAGGACTTACTGGGCATTACCAGAATTTACCAAAAGAAATTGGCAGGGGGTAATTTCACTTGATTCCTTTCGACAAGAATGTATTGCACGTCAAATGTAGAAAGAATGGGCTGGCCAACAAGAATGTGCCAACTGCCGGCCATCAGCCCGCCTCCGTGACCTCGCCAAGGTCGCGTGAATTACTTGTCACGACGTCGCAAGCAACCGAGACTGAGTCAGGCGAGCGTCATAAGTGAAACCTAATACAGATGAAGTCATAAAACGCAAAAAAAATATGCACGAATGTGCACTGGCGGATCCAGGGGGGGGCACGGGGGCCATGGCCCCCCCCCAAAGGCCTAAAGTGGCCTGTTTGCCCCCCCCCCCCCAAAACGCCAGAAAAATTGCTAAGAAAATATACCTTGATGGAGGTTTTTAGCCACTTGGTGAAGTAAAGCTTTCCACAGCATAATATGGAAGCAATATAGTAGCAGTGAGGGTCAGTCAAAAGTTGCGCGAGCGGAGTCGACCTTAAAAAAAGACTGTTGTTGGCACGTGTTTATGGCGCGGCAGCTGGTAGTTGGCGGTGTTTCGCGTGGTGTGGCATCACTGGCGGATCTGGGGGGAGGGGGGGGCACGGGAGCCTGAGGTGCCCCTGACAGGCCCGTGGTGCCCTTGCTAGGCCTGTGGTGCCCCTGGACCCTGGCAGGCCTGTGGTACAGTCCACAGCAGAAGTAATGTGGGGTTTCAGTCATGGGTATGTTCTGCTTCTGAAGCTTAGGAACGATTAGCCAGACTACAATGAAACTTTGAATGTAGCTTATATGTATCGTCACCCTTGCAGCTGCAACTTTAGCTATTGACATCTTCTTTTCAATCACTTCGCATTAAACAATCGCCAGTCAAAGCCAACCGTTGAGTTTGGTAAAACCCTACATTACTTTAGCGGTGGGCTGTACCTCTGGCGGGCCTAGGGTGCCCCTGCTAGGCTGCTGATGCCCCCGGGACCTGACAGGACTGTGGTGCCCCTGACAAGCCTAAAGTGCCCCCAACAGGCCCGTGATGCCCCCGACAGGCCCAAGGTGCCCCTGCGTGATGCCGTGATGCCTGCGAGGCCGGTGGTGCCCCTTGCGAGGCCGGTGGGGCCCCTGACAGGCCCATGGTGCCCCTGCTAGACCGGTGGTGCCCCTGGCAGGCCTGTGGTGCCCCTGCTAGGCCGCTGGTGCCCCTGGGCCCTGACAGGACTGTGGTGCCCCTGACAGGCCCAAGGTGCTCCTGCAAGGCCGGTGGTGCCCCTGTAAGGCCTGTGGTACCCCTGCTAGGCCTCTGGTGTCCCTGACAGGCCCATGGTGCCCCTGCGAGGCCGGCGGCGCCCCTGGCAGGTCTCTGGTGTCCCTGACAGACCTGGGGTGCCCCTGACAAGCCCGTGGGGCCCCTCACAGGCCCGTGGTGCCCTTGCTAGGCCTGTGGTGCCCCTGGCGGGCTGGTGGTGCCCCTACTAGGCCGGTGGTGCCCCTGACAGGCCTGTGGTGCCCCCGGGCACCAAGGGGGTCATGACCCATGTGGCCCCCCTTGGATCTGCCACTGATGCATAATATATTGATTTGTAAAGGCGTTATGGCTTATGCAATATGCAATTGCAGGCACTTGGTATCCCTCACTTATCCCTCATTGGGGCTCTGGCGGGCTCCTGAGGGCCCACGTCTATCTCCGGAAGCCCATATAGACAGGCTCCTTTGGGTCCTTTCAGTACACTATGGCATAAGAGGTCTCCATGCGAGTCCTATACATACATCTGAGGGCGTACCCTGATGTCTGAGGTACCCAACTGCAGCTCCAATGGTCTCTTCTTACACTGGCGGATCCAGGGAGGGGGCATTTAGGGCCATGCCCCCTTCCCAGAGGCCTAAAGTGGCCCGTTTTCCCCCTCCCCCAAACGATAATGAAACATAGTTCAATCAGGGCGTGGCCCAGGAGCCGAGTTAGACAGGGCTGTTTTACCACCTCCCGGCCCGCAAAGGGACCCAAGCACTGACTCGAAGCGGGTTAAAGAGACCCTCCCACCTTCAAAAAAGTTAATGAATTGGCATGAAAGTGATGTCGCTAGGTTCAGAAAGGGCGAAAACGAATATCTACCAATTTTTATCGAAAAATATTCACCGGTTTTCAAGAGATCAGACTTTTATTTTTGTTTACTTTTTGGGATATCCGCTGCTGTTCCTAGCGACTTTATTTGAAAGTGCGGCATTTGTTGCGCGCAAAGCAGCCTATACCACCGCATGCTACCAAACGTTTTAGTAAAATATTAAAAAATCATTAGATCTCCGCTGACGTCACACATTCAGAGGGGTATCCAAAAGCATTAGCCCCTCTGAATCAAAATGCTGCAATTTTGAAATTCAATATTTCCGATTTAAGGCATTTCTCGATGTTGTGAGTGCGTGCCGAAACCGGTAATTGTGAGCCAGGGACCCCATTTTGGCTATCTCAGCTCAAATCTAATGTTAAGGTGGGAGGGTCCCTTTAACTGGTCGATAAAAACAATGGTAAGTGTTTACAAAGTAATATAAAGGCATGGGTCGGGTGGGCTACCATTTATATATTTTTCTTTTTAGTTAAAAAAAAATCATAGTGTCAGGGCTGTGACGAAAAATAAGTGGCCTAAATCCGATGAGAAAACGGGATTTGGGGGTACCCTAGGTTTGGCTCCTGCATGAGTTGCCCCCCCCCCCCAAAACGCAAGCCTGGATCCGCCAGTGCGAATGTGCCCCTAGGCAGTAAAAAAATAATAGTAAAAAATACTAATAGTAGCGGAGAGTGAGGTGATACGGCACCGTACCCCGGGGCCCGGTTGCAGGGCAGATAAGGCAGAGTGTGTGCCCGTCCGGATTCCTAGCTGTAACGAGCGGCAAGGTGACCGCTGAGCGTGAAATGAACACATCGCGTCTCTGGATAAAAACAGACCGCCGCCACGTCACCGGCCGTTCGAGGGGTCGCGGTGGGTTCATGCACCAGTGTCCGCGGCCGGAGCCGTGACGTGGTAAAATGGAGGAGATTTGTAAGAAGTGAAATGACTGAGTCGAGCTTCTTCATGGCTGGTTAACAGAGCATATGATTTCGCCATTGTTTCCCTGCACACATATTTTGAATAAGACTTTTCTATAAACCTATGAGAGAGCGCTCAGCCCCCATAACCAGTAGAAATATCATCGGAGCATTCAGTCACGCGCCATTGGGACCTGCACTACTACTGCCACTACTACGACCTGCACTACTACTAAATGCGCCGCGCCGGCCGGGCGGTGCGGTCGGGCCACTGCTCGTCCCGACCTGTTGAACGCCGCTGCTCGGATACCGACTGCTCGGCTGGCCGGCCGCCAGTGACACCCCGACTGAGCCCGCCCCGCACCGTCTGACCAGCCCTATACACGGCACCGCGCCAGTCCCGCCGGCTGACCACAGGGACCCTCCATCTGACCACAGGGACCCTACAGCTGACCACAGGGACCCTCCAGCTGACCACAGGGACCCTCCGGCTGACCACAGGGACCCTCCATCTGACCGCAGGGACCCTCCAGGTGACCACAGGGCTGACCCGCAAGGTTCGGCGGCTCGGACGTCGAGACAGGCTCATCCAGCGCGGTGGCCGAGAGCTGCAGCGACGCGGCCTGCAAATCCCCCACGCCACGACCGATAAGGGAAGCCAGAGCGAGTGATGAATGAAACAGGTGGCACCGGAATGGCCTCCTGGCTCGAGCTGGTGGGGAGGAGGGACGGGGACAGGGAGGAGGGACGGAGACGGGGCGGAGGGACGAGAAACAGGGTGAGGGGAGGTGGAGCCCGATCGTGACAGAGGGGGGGGGGGGGGACGATGTGGGACAATCGGGCGGCAGCGCGGTACAGCAGCGGTGGGTTGAGCCCGCTGCGTGACTGATCCCGCGCGTCCCGCCGCCCTGTGGGCTGCTCCAGTGACGACCACACCCTGACGGCTGCGCTCCACCCGCCGCTGGGCACGCACTCTGCGGCTGGCGACGTCACCGTGAATGGGCCGGGCACCACGTGCCGGGCTTCAGTCACCCGCCGCCCCCGCCCCGCCCCGGCCCCCGCCGCCCCCGCCCGTCGCTGTTCGGCCCCGGCCTCGCTTCCGTTTGAAGCGGGCGAATGGATGGAACTGGCGGGTGTATGGGTTCGGGAGAACTATAAACAAACGGTACAAGGCTCTGTGGTGGCACAGGGAAGCGAATGGCCGGTTTTACAGACGTAGGGAACGCAAAATGATTCCAGCCAGCGCAGCCCCATTCATACTTTGCCGGTCTACAACTCCGGCATTCTAACACCATTTTCTTTTATTTTACCCTATTTTCATTTGAGTCTTGATGTATGTACTAATATGATTGTCTCAGGTTGGGGACTCCGGATTCCTCATACCTATCTGAGGAGAGCAGTGTGTAGGATCCGAGGTGTCTGAAAGTGACTCCGCCCTCGCCATTCAGGTTACGTCACGTGAGAACGCAGGACGCCAAAGAAGAGAAAACCCAAGTGTAATGTGCATTGTGAA